TTTTGGTTTGTGAGTGAGATTACAATATAAGATTTCACTTGGAGTAGTTTGTTTCTATGAGTGATTGCAATCATTTTGCGAGTGTCAATTTCGGTTTTCAATAATCTCGCTCATTTGTCTCTCTACAAATGTTTAATTTAAATGTTACTTTGGTTCTCTTTTCATTCGATTTCTACTTATCATTTAGTGCCTATATGTCTAATGTGTTGTCTCTGGTTTCTTTGCTTTTTTTAATTCATGAAACGCAAGGAGACAACGAAAGTATAGGAACACTTATTTCAAGTTGCTTGAAGGTAACAAATTCCATCTTGGGTTGTTGTTTATTTAAAACAATATTTACCAGGCGTTATTCCTCTGAGGCGTAGAAATACTGAGGAGGAAAAAGAGGAGGAGGTGAGCGCTCTATATCTAAAAAAGATATTTTCATGATGAAATTCGCCTTTTGACCAAATACTTTTTTCCTCCTAACTTGAGGAGTTATATATTAGATAGTGAATGTTTTCCACCTTACTCAATGACCGATTCAGATCATATACTGCATGCAAGAAATGCATGTAAAACGGGCTGAATTAAGGAAAAAAATACTTATTGATATGTTGTATAAATTAGAAGTTGAATTCTGTCTCTGGCACTGTACGCCCAAAGACGGACAAAACGTTAAATTTCCAGATCTCTAATTATAATTTAAAAAAAAATTCCAAAATGTTTACAATAATGAATTGCAAATCAACATCAATTCGCCAAATATTATTATCTTCACCAAACAGAACACGAAACGCAGAGAGAAAGGAAAGATTCGAGAAATTTAAAAAACAACAATAATAACAATAAAATCATTATCAAGCGAATTTAATAATATAATATGCATAACTTGTATGCAAACTGAATGTAACTATGATGTTTTTAACCACATAACGAATGATTTAATTACGAATATCAGTTTAATTTGAAAAATTGAATCGAAACATTAATAAGATGTCGAAAATAGTGGCATTGATCGTTCAAGCTATTGGACTTGCCGTTGTTTTTTATGCAATTTTTTCGGAAGCTTGCGCGTTCAACGACGGCTTGGTAAATGTATTTAAACAAACCAATTTGAAAATGTTAAAAAAATACTTCTTGTTTCTTTTTTTTTTGAAGTATATAGTGTGCGAGCGATAACGATTATTGCGATAAAGTCTGCGATCGCGGTGTCTGTGCAGCAAGATAATAACAATGAAATATTATTTCAAACACTTTGAATGCGTCCTTTTGTGAATAAAAACACAAATCTCAATGTGTGAATTGAAATTGAACAAACAAAAAATATTTTGTTCTATTTATCCCAGTTGATTGCAATTCCTTTCGGAAAAATCTAAATGATATCTTTTCTGGACAAATATTCTCTTCAGAAGCTTGTTATCTTCTACAGCGTTAAGAATGTTCATATGTGTCTTTTGTAATCTTGCGATGGAACAAATCCTTGCAGAAATAGTCGATGACGAAAAAGGGCATTCTGCTTATGATAGCAAATCGCGGAAATGAAAAGCCATGAATTGCACAATAGCATAGACCAACAAGTGCACTAAAAAAAACGAGAATAATTCTGAAGTTGAAGCATAGAAAAAAGTGTGTTGCGGACAATGTATGCCAAGGCAGGTATGAGAGCGCAATGTAGAAGTCGGTAGAAGTACTTTAGATTTAAGCAGAAACAATAGTTTACGAGATGTATCAATACGTAACACTGAAATGATATAAAAAAATATCATTGTTTGTCTGTTGTTTAGCATCGAAGAAACTGTGAAAATTCTACTGCTACAATAATGGCAATCAATTTTTCGAGTTGAAATTTGCATTGGAACATTTAATATTCAAATTTTATTTTTTATCCTCTCCTCCTCTTTTTCCTCCTCGTCATTCCTCCTTCTCACAGGAACAATCCCTGGTGTTTATTAAAAAATGACCATTGTATTTTGTTTCATTTTCATATTGGATAAGAACTAAATACTTGTCCCGGACCCTTCAACAAAGGCGTTCATAAAAAAAATGATTTCGCTAATCATCATTTAAAATGTTCAGATTCATTAATTGCATAGTGCCTTTTATTCATCATGTGTAATATGTTTGTCACTGGGATGCGTTAATAAAATAATAAGTCTGAATAATATCTGTGTGGTTCCATTATTGGTTTTTGTTTTTCGTGCCAGAATTATTTGAGTGCTGATCTTGAGTTGAATAAGTATCGCTTTTGTTGTTATTTTAATATTAATTCGTAGCTATTGTGTGATTTTCGAAACACTGTACACATATTCAATCGTTATTTGCTAAAAGTTTGCCGTAATTTTTCGTGTGAATATCAGTGAATAAATATTACTATTCCATTGTTGATCACAAACAAAAATCAACTAAACATTTTACAAAAAAATCATGTCATTTTTTTACACTTATAATTTGTGCACATTATAGCAGATGGGAATAATTACCGTCCGATTTCTCCCATTTCCGAAAATATTTTAGTTGACTTTTGTGTGTGTGTTGCAATGCCGTTAAAATTGTCAGTTGGATGATCCGTTTAAAAGTGCATTTATGAAATGTTGAGCACGAGAAAAGCACCGCTTTCGTGTAGAAAATAAAACATTTTATAGCATTTTAGCTTAAAATTTACATTTTCATCCGACGTCATTTTCTTTTTCATCTGTGTGCTGTGTTTTTTTTGTCAGATTTTATATTAAATCTCTACTCTTATCAACAATCAATTTCAAAATTGTATACCTATCATTTATATGATACATGAGTGAAACGGGATAGTAAACGATTCACGTTTCGTGCTTTTATTGTTTTCTAATTTCAATTTTACATTCATATTCTCTCTCTATATATATTTTATGCATTTTGTCAAATTCACGTATCTGCGCGACACTTTTGTGTTTTATTATACTTTGGATTTCCTATGTATTTTTTGTTTAAATATTTATTTCATTTTGTTGCTTAAGGCCCGTGTTCCTAGCATTTCCACTATCATATTTATATTATGTTCATTGCGTCGATTCAAATTCCACTGACACACTAGGACAATTGGTGTGGGTGATATTTTAAGTTTCATTCATTATTTTCATATGCGGTAGACATATATGAGTTTGGAGAATTTTTATGCAAATCTTCTTGGTTCGCGCCATCTTTCATTCCATCTTTGAATCCAATTTACTTCCATTGCAACGATGGCATGAGAGATGGCGTGAATCAGATGGGTTCGCATTCTGACTCTTCATAGCCTTCATCACTTGTGCGATACATATATTCAAATTTGCGATGCGACAGAGACTACAACTAAAGTTAATAATCATTCATCTTATGGATTTAATGCCATCGTTTTTTGTTCCATATTAACAACAACAACAACCAAAAAAACGTAACCGAGAAGCGGTCCGAAAAATTTACCAGCAAATTCTTGAAGAAGAGGAAAAAATTCTTATAAGATATTAAGATCCTGTGGGATTTGGGAACAAGAAAAATATATATGATTGCAAACACTATTGAATCTATTTGAAAAATATCAAAGTTAACAATTTGAAATGTATTTTTATGCAGAAACAAATTATTCACCGTCAGATCAACTGACTCAGATTATTAATTTTACAGTGTTCATGTTTCTTTCTTATGGTTTCCTTGCCGATTTTCAATAGAAATCTTCATCAACAATTTATTATCGTACTGAAGAGTTGCCTTTATATCAACGGGTAGAAGACACAACGATTCAAAACTAAAATATTTTTGAATCGTTTTCAATCTTTACTTCAAAATCTCGATAAATCTTGAATCTTGTGTCTACTAACCCGAGCTTTGTATGCTTTCGTTAACTGCATGGAAACAATTTGTGATATTACTTTTACAAAACACATTGAGCTAATAAGAATTAGTTTTAAAAAACGACTTAACTTTCGAATCAAATTGAGGCAAATTATTGCTCGTATTGACTCAATTTTAATGAAATGTGACAGCTGAAACAATTTAGGCACCAAACGTCAGGCGATGAAATGGCGTGAAAACAATAGAAGTGATTGTTGTAGTGATTGTAACAATGGAAGCATTTTTAAAGCTATAACAATCGCTTCTATTATTGTCGCTCCATTTGAGCGCCTGACATTAGCTTCCTGAGCTGATTCGGCTAGCTGAAAATATCTCAATATAACCTCTGATATGAATTGAAAACGATGGAAAATATAAAGAACCATAAAATTTGAAATTAAAAATGCTTGCATGCACTTGAAACATTTTAAAATTTATTAGCCATTATATTGTGTGCTATTCAATTGAATTGTTTCGAGTGTCTGACTGTATGCGTGAATGTGTGTTTGTGTGAATATTTTGAGTAAATAAAATGATTTGTCTGAGATACTTAGAAAATTCACTTGATTTATTTTTCACTATAAAAGGATCACAGATTGAACGTTTATTGTTTTCTCCGTCGCAATTTCATTTTCGCCGTGGGATCGATAACACTAGTAAATCATAATCGACGTTTTTAAGACTTTTAGATTTTAATTTTACTGGTCGTTCACAACTACAAAAAAACGTGTCAAAACTTTTTTCGGGTTTTGTTTGATGATTGTAAAACCAAAACACCACAGCACGTTATCGTTGACTTTCAGTCGTTCATTGTTTATCATATTTTTGTATCCAGTAAAAAGCACATGTTATAATCTCCATACGATGTTTTTTTTTTGTTTTTAAATTTAAAATGTGAAAGTGTGTGTGTGTGTGTTGAATGAAATGTGTGTGCTTTTTACTCTTCGAATTCGATCGGAAATCGCTTGGTTCGTATCAATATGATTGCCGATTAATTTATCACTTATCAAAATAGTTTTGCACAACAAAAAACGTGGATAGAACAGATGCATAATATAATAATTCGTTTTTATTTCATTGAATAAATGGAAATGTCGAGTTCACATTTAATTTCCATTTTACACGATCGTGCGTGAGTGTGTGTTTAATAGATTTTAAATGTGAAATAACAGTGATTTGCTTTCATTTTTTATATATTTTTTTGTTTATTAATCTCTGTCTCTAGTATGAATTGATTTCCCAATGAATGTGGGTTGTATTCGTTGGCATTGTTGCCAATGTTATAGTTTCGCCAATAAATCTAATGTAATCAGGGATAAAATGTATCTATACATTCGATCAAATGTTTTGGTGAAATGGGTATGTGTGTTCGTGTGCGTGTGAGTGCACCTTTTCAATGTGTGCCAAATCAACTTCACGAGTCGTCGGCACTTAATTCGCATTTCAATGGAAAATGCCAAAACGATGCTAATTGTGTGTGAATAGTTAAACAGTAAGGAAATTATACATCCAAAAAACAATGAATAAACAACTAAGCTTATTGCCGATGATCAACGATATAAATGACATTGCATTCTTCTCGCCGGCAACATTCAATCGATTTGTTAATGACTTATATTGATTACAATTCTCTATGCTGATTACGTAACTACTGTTATGATAACTATAAATATTGTTATTGTTAATTTCATCAATATTATTATTAATGTTCATATTTCTAGTGCTAAAACAATGATTATTATTATTATCGTCGTATTGGTATACATTTGAATAAAGATTCTTAAACATATTTATTGATGTTGGCGATGCAGAGCTGACTGCATTCGGAACTGGCGTCGGTGGGCCCAGACGATTATTTAGCCGTGAAATTTGCGAAGACCATCGAATCGTGTAGACCGGCGGCGTTCGTGTCATTCCTTGAACTCTACAATAGACGAAAAAAGACGAGAAAATCAAATCCAAATAAATAAATGAAAAAAAAAAAATTAATAGTAATATCAATGAACGAAGTTTTATAAGCCATTCCAACCGAAAAATACGTAACATGTTACTTTATCGATGTTCATATTTCAATTTCTTACCGAACGACAACTGTGCTAAATTTCCATGGCATTGTGAAAACTTTGTGCTTATCTCGTGGACAAAAGAGATGAATCTGAGGTCCAACATGATCCACACTTTCTTCGGCCGCTGAAAACTCATGAATTGAAATATTCCATGCGGAACACGATCGACTTTGCTCCGATAGAATCTAATATTCCGAGAAATAAAATATTGAGAAGAAAATTTAATCAATGAACAAGACTTAAAAAGTTCGTCTACGTCAAATAAAATTCAACCAAAAGAAAGAGAAATGAACGCACACACACACACAAAAACTTTAAAGCTGTTCAGCTTTGATTTCACTTTACCTCAATGAATAATTGACGATCAACTTTTGAGTCCAGAATCCAAGTGCAATGCTGATGGTAAAATGAATTCAACGAAAATACCGTCGACGAATTGTTCGAAAAGTTGTTGGACGACAGTTCACCTTAAACGAAAATAAAACGATATTTTATAGACGAAAGGTAGAATACACCGTACACTATACACTCTTTTATTGTTGCATGTATTTTTCTTGTCGAGCATAAAAAGATTTTCGTTTTTATGTTAGTTGCACAAAGCGTACGACGCTAACTTTGATGACGAGCAACATTTTTATTGAAAGAGATTTTCCGGGTAATTTTTTGTGTATTCGTTCTGCTCTTTCTCACCTTCAGTTCTCTACATTTTATTTTATTCATATGTCACATTTTGTTTTCGAATTTAACGCGATTTTATGCTTACCTGAATGCGTTGTAAATGTTTTGGTACCGCAAAGTCCATCGGTGTTAAAGCTATACGACGATTTAAATGAAAATCCTTTTGCACTCCATGAATAGTGAGGTATTGAATAAACCAATTTTAATGGTGACCATGTACGCAACGAAACTGGCAACCACTCCGAACGAAATGCACCACAAAAACAGTTAATCGATAAACTATCTTCCGATATCATTGTTAAATGATCCACTTGATCTAATGGATACATATTAGTCAAACATTGACAGCCAGCATCACCGCATACCGTTTCACAGTGTGGCTCGGATCCCAAACGCTCCAATGAATCAATCTAAATTCAAGTCAAATTTAAGGCAAAGAATTTTATTTCAAGAATGCGTAGATTTTGTGGAGTTAAATTTTACTCTCAAATGTTGTGACATTATTTCATTGATTGAGCATACTAAACACACATTTATTGTTTGTCACGTTTCGTGTAATGGCTCTTATGAATAATATCAATCCCCTTATGAGTAAAATCGATTTTGTAATCACGTATTTCTATTGATTACGTCGCTTATTCGAAAATGGCTTATGCGATGAGAAAAATATAATTTTTTTTCGAATCGATTCCGAGTCTTGGAAAATATCGATGTCAAAATAGGTTAATTTCAACTTAAAATTATGACTGACTTTATGTGAAGACGAGGAACAGAGGAGTCATTAGAAGTATTGAAACTTGTTTCAAAAACTTTCATATATATTACTCAAATCTTTCAACGATAGTTGAAAAAGTATTTTGGAATCATTCCATAAGTTTTATGTGAATCAACTTAGATCAACGTGCCATATATGTGCCAGTCAAGTGATTAACTGTATTTTGTGATTTGATAACTTTCATACTTTTCTAATCAGATTCTATCGGTATTAATCAATAGAGGTAGATGTGATATCAATAAAATAATGTTCCACTGAGATGAAGATTACATTCAAATTTTGCAAAAAGTTTCTATCAATTTCACGACTATGGTGAGTGATTCGGAAATTCGGAAACTCTTCATTGATCAAAAGTTTTGTATTTAAAATCTAATAAAATCGAAATGAAACAAATATTTACCGATACGGTTACACTCTGATTGGCAGCTGGTACAAAGTTATGTGTGCACGTGAGAACGCCTTCAACATTCCAAAAAACATGCTCCGAACCAGGTCCATTTATTGTACCAAATGCTGGACTGCTCATTCCATAACGGTCTGTGTCGCACATCGATGACGGTTGAAGCGTTCCACTTTGCTCTTCTGCTTGAAAAAAAAAAACGAAATCAAAATGATTTTAAGTTATTACTCCCTCGAGCACAATACAGACAATTATTCTGCAATCAAAATTATTGAGTGTGTATTGAATAACGTTCAATTTGTATTACGAAAGTTTGGTGAACAGACTAGGATTTCTTTCACCCACTTTAGTTTTGACAAAATTTCATTTTTTTAGCCATTTTTTTATGTGACAGTCCCTCTTAATGAATTACAAATACAAACCATCATGAAACATGTAAGCTCCATCAATGAATTCATCGTTGTGATCGTAGTTGGATGAAGCGCCACCGGAGCCATGGAATCGTCTTAGTGCAATCATAATTTGTGAACCAGTCGAGGAGAATGTTTGTGGTGGTACAAAATTACCACTTTGATCGCGAGCATGTCGTATGACTGGTGAGCACATTTTATGTAATGATTTCTTTTGATTATTTACACTGGCCGGTGGTGATTCCAAAGTACCGTCTATAATTTCGATGACTGATCGGCACGATTGTGCTTTCAATCGATAGTTAAAAAGTGAAATGTGAACAACATCAGTGGGACGTCCTTTAAAAATTAAACGACAATTCGGAGCAAATGGTCGTCCACGTGTATCAAAATGGCCTGATCGTCCGTTTGCTTCGATTATGATTTTATCACATGCTGAAAATTTTGGTGGTGCTGGTGTCCAATCAATTTCAGTCAATGCTGGTGGTGGTGGCTGCGGTGGTGCTACGCCCGGAGCAGAAGCACCAGCAGCAGCGGCCGCAGCAGCGGCAGCAGCATGTCTATGATGACTTCCACTGTGATTGCGGGTCGGTGGTGCAATTGTGTGTGGTGCCACTGTTGTACCATGCCCTTCAATAAATTCCAAATTGGCTGCAAATCCATTGTAATCAAATGGCGGAACTTGATAGCCAGCATTGAATTCAAGCAATAAATTCGGTCCTTGAAAAGACAATTCCTGTTTTTTTGAACCGCAAATTGTTGCTAATTTCTTATCATTCGGTACGGTGCCATCATACAATGCAATGTAGTGCGTATCGCAATGCCTGAAAAATTGTACAAAATCAAATATATCGCTTTATTGAGTGGAAAATTCAAACGGAAAATTAATGACAAATGTGATTTGAATAAATTAAGGTTTTTGTATGTATTTCATTTGTTATCCGGCAGAGCATTTGTTTTGCGTGGTCTTCTTTATTGGTTCGTTATTTTATGTACAATCTGGCTTTATTACCGAAAGCAATTTTTACACTTCAAACATGAATTGGTTTTGGGTCAGAAACGTGTGTATCGCCGCGGCAATTTTATGTACACCAACAACAACAACACCAACAGTAGCAACGATTTGGAAAATAGATCAAAAGCTGAACTGTTTGTGTGTGTGCGTGATGAACATAATTGCATCCGGCGTTACAAAACACGCAAAATTAAATCAAATGACAGTGATATCTGTACAAAATGATTGTATATATAATGTGTGTCAAACAACTCACCTTTCAGGCAGCAATAGTGATGTGAATGTGATTTTTACGCGCGTATGAGCCGATGAAGTGGCTATAAGGTATCGACAAATGATATTTGGTGGAAAGATACCGGGAAAACCGGGGCTTGCGATAGCGCACGAATTGTCCTGACATGCATAATCATTGTATGTCCAATCGCATTCGGTCGATGTAACACGTGTTCCACCTGTTTTTTTGTATGTGTGTGTATGTGGGGGTAGAGAGAATGGGTGACACATTTGCTTGTTCGGTTAGTTTTTTTTGTGTGATGGTTATCTCTTTTATATTCAAAGCCTGACTCCTCTTGACTGATATCTATCGGATTTTTTTCTATCCGGAAAAGCTTTCAAACCAATAACAGTAAAACCTAGATTAAATTTCATGTGAAATCTCGATCTAGATGATTCATCATTTAGTTTTCGATCGTATTTTTTTCGACCTCTCTTTCCATTCATGTTTTTAGATTAATTCATTTTCATGAGTACCATCGGTATGAATCAAAATCAAATGAGGTATAGAAGAAAAAATTGCGAATCATCTGAATACAAATTGAATATAAAATTGCCTCTAGTTTTCATGCTATTTTTTTGTATGCATTTGTTATTTCTTGGGAATTTGTTTTCATTTTTCTAAGTTCAAGTTGTATTTTCATTTGAATATGCACAACACACCAGCTACAAAAAAAGAAGAGAACAACTTCAATTCAAATTTATTACGTCGTTTCAGCATCGCAATCATTTCATATAATCCGGATGTGAAAAGCTTAGACATAGACACGCAGCCAAACAAGAGTCAAGTTTTGTTATAATATATAAATGTTGAATGAATGAAAACAACAACAACAAAAAACAGAGAAGAAAATTGCGAGTGTGAAAGAAATCATCTTAACTTACCTTTGGGATGAAAGCCAACCAGTGGATTGCTCAGTGCTGTAAAACTGAAATAGGCCAAGAATTGCGAACGACTTGTCTGTTCAGTGATGCTATCAATCAGAATTACCATTTTGCACCAGGACACATAGATAGACAGCATTTGAGCATTGAATGTACAGCACGAAGAAAAATTACGCCATGAAATGAAAATCAGAAACATTTCAAAATAAGAATATTAGTCAAATGTCATTGATAACACCGAAAAAGGCGAACAACGTAAATAAGACACAGAAAAGTGTCAGTGGCAAAGAGGCACAGTTTGTGTCATTGATAAATTACATTAAAACAGAGCATGAAATCACACGCACACACACACAGTAATGAAATACTCACTTGAATATCAACGTTGTCGCTCCTTCGTCCGAAAAGAGAACGGCTGGCGGTGAATATCGTTCATTTGAACCGCACAATTCAGCACTCGGCGAACTCAATGAATCAATATCAACCGATCGTGGCAGTAAATTGTTATCCATTCCAAAACGTAATGATCCACCTTCGCATTGTTTGCCATTGAACCGTCCCGTCTCAACTAAACGATACACTTGCAATTCGACACGTTGTCCAGGCGCTGGTCGCAACAAATATTTACACACTGTTGGTCCTTGGACAGTTGGCGACTTGATTTGGCCAAATGCACAGCCCGATGTATTTTGTAAAGCACGCGAATCAATCGTTATGTTACACACTTTAGATGAAATGGCGCAATGATGGTGGGCAGTGAGGAGATTGCAAACAAAAAAGAATCAAAGTCAAACAAGAGAGAAAAAAAGCATTTAGTGGCATCTCTACAATGCATTGAAATTCGGTGATTGGAAAAATGAATTTCCAAATCGATTTATTTAAATGAAACACATTCAGTTCATCTGATCGAAATTACGTTTCTCTCTTCATCTCTCTCTCTCACATAGCCATACACAACCAATGGAGCCGAGAGAAAATCAATCAATAAATTTACATAAAAAGATTAATGACACTTACTGTTGACACAGTATTGTTCTAAGCCACACTGTCCGCATCTTGCTGGTGAACTGGAACCACACTGGCATCCGCCTTTGACACAGCAGGCACAATTGTGGCTGGACAACGATGCAGGTATTGGGTGTGAGGACGCATTTACTGCATTCACATCAATGTGTGACGCATTGGTCATCAAATGCGTACTACTTGCATGTGCATTATTCTCCCATTCGCAGGCACAACCACTCGTTTTCTTCGTCCATAAATCAACTTGACCTGAAATGAACAAACGAACAAAACATGAATTTATTTATTGAACAAAAAAAAAAGCATACACAGAGAGAGAGGAGAGAGAGAACAGCGATCAACATAAATTTTAATTGAATCATTTGCCGTTTAAGAAATAAAAAATAAAACAAAAAAATCTCATCGAAGAGAAAGGATACCAACCATCGATCGAATGTAAAGCGAATGAAATAACGAAAAATTAATTTCAATTTAAACGCATGTAATGCGCACACCGCATTTACACTATTAAGCATATGTATTTGTGTTGAAAATAAACCATGTAGTCGATAACAGTAAATGATTCATGTAATTACGTCACATTACATGTATATATTGTTCCATAGAGTTTGCAACACCATTTGATTTATTGCCTTTTAAAACCATATATACACTATAGTACCATGGAAGATAAGAAGAAGAAGAAGAAAAGAAAAAAAGGAACGACGGTGCGCATCCGTCCGAAGACGTTTGCTGCAAAATGTGTTTGTTTATTTTGAAATAGAAAATAAATTGATTTTATTCGCAGGCTTCGGAAATTGCATTGTCAAGTTGAATGTTCCCTATTTTTCTCATTTGAAATAGAAAAACAATGATATTATCGTGAACGCTTCAATTAACAAAAATGTTTGACTGTTGACGTTCTGTTTTATGTAAAACATGGTAATGGATGTTTGTTGCTTTAGTGGGATTTATTATGGGCCTAGGCATGACGGTGACAAACACAATTTCTGACACAATTGCCATCTCTGGCACTCATTGATGTGCGCTTCTTGCTTGCTCCTGTTCTCGTTTTTATTTTCATATTTATGTTGCCACACCATATACCATCTCACATTCATTCATTTCGCTCACATTCACATTTAGCTTGCACACTTCTCCCCCCCAACCTCGCACTCACCTCAGCACTGCTGATTTGGCTGTCTATTTCGGAGATTATTGTAAATATTCAACAGCAATAGCAACAGTGGCAGACAGGTGATGTTTAACCATTTCATACAGTCTGAATATCGTCTAAATAATACATCTCTCGTTCAAAATGCATACCCATACAAATGGCAAACTTATGTCTTGGTAACTTATTTTATACATTGTAAATGAATGCTATATATAAATATATACATTTATATGTGTGTGTTAGAATGTGCACTATTTTCGGGTAGTAAAAATAAACTTATTGATGTGAAAACCATGTATGCATAACATCATTCGCATCGCTAAGATAGTCATGTTTAATATTGATCTGGTTAGCTGGGGCTACAATAAAAATTTACGTTTGCAATATATTTATATCATGTTAAGTAAATAAATAGACAAAGAGGCAAGTATTATTATGAAAGTAGGAGGAAATGCGACAAATGCTAAAGAAATGGAATCTGTGGTAACCACGCTTTATGTACACTTATTAACCGAAAAAAGAACCTAGAGAAATGTGATACCTGTTTCAATATTCCCTGAATGATGTGTGCGCATTTTTGCGCTTGAGCTCAACACAATCACCGTTCATTCGCACATTTCTTTTTTGCTTTCTCATGATTTTTCATTTATGCCACATAGAACAGTGTGTGATGGTTGGCAAAAAATCGTAGGCATATCATCGAAAAAGAGAAAATAAAATAAAAATGTACACACACACATATATCCCAAACTAACCGCCTTACGGAATCATATGTTAAACGAAATTATGTGTATCATGTGTATCATTAGGCCGAGGCCGAGACTTAATGATAGAGTAGAAAATTCATAGCACAGAATATATGAAAATATACAGATGAATGGACGAATGGGCAAATAAATAGAGCAACAAACGAACAACGATAGAAAATAAAATGAGCTACAGAAAAAAAAAGATGAATATAAACAAGCTGTAGTTAAGCTTACAACTATCGAGGCGGAAAAAGGAAAACCATCTGTAATAATCGAGACTGGTTGGCCGAAAGCTTGATTTAAATTTTTGCGGCAACGAACATCAAACAACGACGCCATTAAACATCACTATTGCACAGGGTCTGTGCCACAGACATTGTAGCCTCGCATAAATGACAGTGTTTTTTTACATTGTTTTCTTATTCGCTTTCGTTGCTGAACGAAGAACGTTCGCTAAACGCTGCCAGTTTTTTTTTTCTTCTTCAGTTGAGTTTTGCAAGCGATATGTCACAAATTTTTGCATTCGAAAATCGTAATGAAGAGCATCGTTTCCATACTGTGGAAGCGATGTCACTTTCCTATACAAAATCAGTACTGAACTTTTTTTAAGGTATTGGCCCTCTATCAATGTTTTTGGTACTAATTTACTGAGCAGTTGACATAACATCACATCTTGTCAACTGTGTGTGAACGATACAAACTCGTGTATTATTGGTTCGGAGAAAAATTGTTAGTGGTGCTCACGTTGGAACAAAGAAATTAGTTTGCTTCCATCCTTTGATCGTTTCAATTGTTTATCTGAAGTAAAACTGTGTTTATTTATATGTGGCATTTGATTCGGCTTTCCACAATGATACGTATTTTTTTTTACTAATGGTGAGTTTTTCTTTCATCTTTCATTTGCAACATTCAAATCAATTTATTTCTCAGGGATATTCTTTACAGTTTCTTTCAACTGTATTGGGTGTTTGATGTATTCGTTACGTTATATCAATTACACTGTGCTACGTTCTCTTTGCATCTTTTTTTGCCATTGTCCATTCGGAGAAATAAAAAAAACTTTTTCGCTTAAACTATACACCATTTATACATGTGCATGAAATGGTTGTGTGCAAAGTTATTGTTTGAGTATGTGTTAGAAAAGAAATGTTAGTGATGACCTGCAATATCATACAAATGTGCATTTTCATTTTTGGTGATTTTTCTATGCATTTTTTTCTCTTCCATTTTCCATCTCATTCTCTTTCGCTCATGTTTCGCATCTCCATGCAAAAAAAAGCATACAGTTTTCAAATTGTATACATCTTTAGTGTAAGTGTAATAGATATTCGTCGTCAGCATATACTCTCCAACTTTTACCGTGCGCACAACGCTAATGCCATAACAAAAATGAAGAGACTTTTTATTGGAATTGCACAAAAACTCCCCGAAAACACAACAGAGAGAGAGAGAAAAAAGTGAGGCAGAAAAAAAACAAAAGCTCTTTTGTTTTCCGAAAATATCTTTAGCACCCACCGAAACATGACCATGTCGACTTCCGAAGAGTTGCAACATTAATAAATGATAAATTTTTAATGAAGAAGTACCAATTCGCATTTTGTCCATTTACCGTGAAATCTCCCTTCACAAAAAACAATGCCGATTAAATCTCTTGTGTTCGTCATTGCAATTGTCATTTTGTCAAATGAGTTATGTTTGGCATGGATTTCACGCCAAATAAAATGAACCGCTGGAGATTTAATTTGTTACTTAAAGATTTACGTGATTTGGCAAACAAAAATGTTTTCCAAAACGCATCATTGCCACTAACGGACGGCAGCACTACCAACAGCCAGAAATGACAATAAATTGTTCTGTTTTAGTCATTTATTTGGTTTTTCCATTGCGCTTTGCCGTTTGTTTGCCGACACATGCACATAGAGTGTATGTGTTTCGAGAGCTTTAGTGTTTGCTCTGCATGTGTAATTATTTTCTGCGCTATGCATTCTATGTTTTGAATACATTTCTTTCTTATTGTTTTTTGTTTTGCTCTCTGGCTGTGTTTGTGTATAGATTTGTTTGTGCAAACTTGTTTTTGTTTTTGTTTTTTTTTGTTACTTTTCTGCGTTCGATTTGGTTTTTGTGTGAATGTGTCGTGTGTGGTTTGTTACAGCCAAAGTTTGCATTTTACAGTTAGAACATTTGAGATAAAAATAATTTGACGAATTAAATGAACATGGACACAACGAAGGAAAAATAATGACAAACGAGAACAAGAAATGAAACAATGTATCGGCGACCAGATACACACTCACAAAATAAAAACATCATTACATTCAGGCAGAAAGCGAAAAGTATTCCTTTTCATTGCTTTCATGGTAAAAATCCAAATTGGCCCGATACAATAACTTACACGCTATATTCTTTCTCGTTCGGTGTCTTTTTTTGTGCTTTTGTTAGCTGTTGCTGCTACTGCAGTTCATTTTTGCAGTCTCTTTTCATCTCGCATTTATCCATTTCTCCAGTTAAATGAATTTAAATTGGTTTATGCGTTCGCCGCCTCTACAAAACTTAACGTCTAATAAGTAATGGCTGCTGTGTATGTGTATATGTGCATTGTGCATTCTACCGTTCTTTACAAACTTTGACAGAAAGCGTATTTTTTTTATCTTGTTCTCCGTATTTTCTCGATGCCATCGTTGTCGCAATTTGCTTTTATTGTTAGACAATATATCGGATTGGAACATTTTTATTGCAACCGAACCAAAGTTCCCTTTTGTGCTATTTTTGTTTTCAACTAATTGGAAATTTAGTGCCGCCAGACTAATACTGCCTAATTGAAATTGGTCTTGCAGCAGCACATATTCAAAAAAGAAATTGCATTCTCTCTCTCTTTCTCTGTCGTTCTCTGGTACATTCTTATCACAGAAATAGTTGAAAGTTGTTTTATTTCCTCTGCAAAACACGAAAATTTAACACAAAACGTTGTCGTATTTTGAATAATTTGCAGCCAACACAGTTGACACATTGGAATATATTCGAGGTAAATATTGGCTTTGTATTGTGCCTGTTGTATGTTTGCACAATTGCACATTCAAGGTGAAAATGGAAATTGTATCGAATCTTTTGTCAAATTTTTCAGAGCATAATTATAAACGATATATAGCACATAACATCAAACCCACAAATGAACAACGGCGTGGCTTTGTATAATTGTTTTCGAGTGTGTACACATGTTTGAGCTTAATTATATAGACCATCTAGACAGAATTCATCAAAGATAACGCTAAAAATGAAACGCATGTATTTCTATTTGCAGTTCGATATGTGATTTGTGTGTATACATGAAGATTAAGATTATCTTC